AGCCACCACCTGGAAATTCAGTGGCACAGGCAGCAGGATATAAATAGAAAGTGGACAGATGCAGTCTGTGGGATACCTCTGGTATCCCAAAATAACATTGCAGTGTAGACATACCTTAAGTGAGGCCAGAATCAGGCCCTACAATAAGTGTTTCACATCTGAAGTATAGATTATGAAGTCATGGAAGGTGTGGAGGGTATAAGTTACTATTCCGCTGGGGAGACCCGGCACAATGTGGAGAGGAAGGATGTTTTTCCCTTAGAACTCTGGCATCTAAGGAGATTCCCTTCAGAAATACAAGGGGTGCTGGGAAGTGAGTTTTGAGGGGGGATTTGAAGGTGAAGAGGCGGGGCTTGACCCAGGGAAAGCGGGAGACAGCTGTTCCAACAGCTTTGATTTAAAAAAGTACCAGCATGTTCAGGCCTTTAGACCATGATATGAGCCCATACCCTTGAGTTTGGTTTAATTTCAACAGATTTAGGTGCAGCAGTTCCTTCCCATCCCATCTGTCTCATCCCACCCAGTTTCCATGGCGATGTATAGCACACCCTCATAAATTTGAAGTGGAGGTGGAGGTTTTTAATTCGCACTGACGTGATACACAGTAAGGCCCCCTTCATGGTGATTAGGTTTATGATGTCAATAAAACTCCTGGAGCCCATGCTGACAAGGTCAGTGATGATTGATCGCCTGTAGAAATGTTTCTTAACCCGTCACTGAAATGCCTATTAATAAGCAAAAACTGAGGAAACTAACAAGAAATGCTACATCGAGGCTGGGAGTCTGACTTCAAACCATGAAACCAAGACATTCGGAATTTTACTCCTGCTTCCTTAATTCTACAGCATCCCTAATGGACCAACATATGTAGGAACTGATTTGGACCCATTGGTCCATATTTGTTCTGTATGATTGTTTGTTTGTACTATGGTATTGGCTAGGGACCCCGTTGTGATAAACACTGTGCAAACACAGAACAAAAAGATGGTCCCTGGTCCAAAGAGCTGACAATTGTAGTATAAGACAGACACAGCTGATGGATCAAAACAAACAGAGAGTAGCACAAGGAACCAATGAGATAATGCTGTCTAATACTTAAACCCAGAGGGGTAATATGGTCTGGAAACAGAGCCATCCTGGGGATTTATGGGCCCCTACATAGTTCTACTAAGCTGGTGCTCCTGTGCCCAATGGCAGCTGGGGAGCTGACAATTTTCTAGAAATGTGATTTTATCATCTTCAGCAACACACCAATGAAATGTTTTTAAAGCAAATTTTAACCGAAGATCCTATAAACTAACCCAGTAAATTCAGAAAATGACAGAATATACCTGCTCATCAAGTCTAGTACTCTGCCCTCATGGCAGGACCAAGTGTAATCACCACCTGGCAGATTTGAACCTGGGACCTCTGAAGCAGAGTATACAAGCTTCTACCCTATGAGCTAAAAGTCAGCTGGCTCCCAGCCCATGCAGTAGAGGTCTCTTGGTCTTAACTGTTGATGTCATCTAGGTACTACTAGCATTGCTCAGTAACCACACAGTGGGTACGTCTAGACTACAGGCTTTTGTCGACAGACGTTTTGTCAACAGATACTGTCGACAAAACTTCTGTCGACAAAGAGCGTCTACACTACATTCAGTTCTGTCGACAAAGCAAGCTGCTTTGTCAACATGGTAGTGTGGATGCAAAGGACAGTTTACATGCAATAACACCTTCTGTCGACAGAAACTCTGTCAACAGAAGGCGTTATGCCTCGTAAAATGAGGTTTACCAGCGTCGACAAAACTGCTGAGTTCTGTCGACATTATGTCAACAGAACTCAGCGGTAGTGTGGACACAGGTATAGTTTGGTCGACAAAAGTCCACTTTTGTCGACCAAACCCTGTAGTCTAGACACACCCTGTAAGTGTGTGGGTTACATAAGCACCATCTAGATCATCCCTGATGGGTGTCTGTCTAACCTGCTCTTAAATATCTCCAGTGATGGAGATTCCACAACCTCCTAGGGCAATTTATTCCAGTGTTTAACCACCCTGACAGTTAGAAAGTTTTTCCTGATGTCGAACTTAACTCCCCCCCGCCCCCTTGCTGCAATTTAAGCCCATTGCTTCTTGTCCTATCTTCAGAGGCCTAGGAGAACATTTTTTCTCCCTCCTCCTTATAACACCCTGTTAGATACTTGAAACCGGCTATCATGTCCCCTCTCAGTCCTCTCTTTTCTAAACTAAACAAGCCCAGTTCTTTCAGTCTTCCCTCATAGCTCATGTTTTCTAGGCCTTTAATCATTTTTGTTGCTCTTCTCTGGACCTTCTCCAATTTCTGCACATATTTCTTGACATGTGGTGCCCAGAACTGGGCACATTATATACAATGATGTATATGTTTGGATCCATCAGCCCGCTGTATTTCACCATGTTAGTCTGTCCACCCCTAATTGACATATCCCTCGGCGACATAAACTATCTGCCGGGAACGAGCAAGTATGAAAGGGGCCAAAAGACACTTGGTAGCTATTTGCTCTTTCAGTGAGCTCCTGTGGAGCCCTCAGCCAATAGTAATGAACCCCGAGTTGCTTTGTGACCTCACTTTCCCACAAAGAGCAAGCGAGGCGTTGCATACACGTGGTGCCACACACGGTCCTGACAGGTCTCCTAAGGCCCACAGCTGATTGGTTGGCTTGTTTCCCCAGCCTGCTACTGACACAATACTGGTGTGCACGCACCTGCTTAGGAACGGCAGCGCCTCAGCCCCCGGGCAACCTGACACAGTACCAGTGAAGTGCAAAATTGAGGTTTTGCAGCCAAGGGTGGTATAAGGCAGGGGTGGGGAACCATTTTTGGGTCAGGGGCTGCTGACTCACAAAAAAATCAGTTGGGGGCTGCACACAAGTGAGAAGCAAAAAAAAAAAACCCTTCATTGATGTGGCCCCCAACTGAGAAGGAGACACTTTCCACATTCCCCTCCCACACCAGAGCCTAAGGGGCCCAGCCTAGTAGATTTGTGTACTCCAGCCCTGTGGTAGGGCATCAGGGGGGCTGGAGTGCCAGCACAGGCTCCCCCATGCTGGGGGGAGGGCCATGAGCCTCGGGGGCCAGATACAGGCAAGCCGAGGGCCTCATCTGGCCCCTGGCCCTGAGGTTCCCCATCCCTGGGGGATGAGTGGAGGCCGCCTGCAGGATGACATTAGGAACATTGCCAGGGGATGGTTGGCTCTAACATGGACACTCTTGATGAGCCAGATCCTCTGCTGGTGTAAATCAGTGTAGCAACATTGACATCAATGGACCTCCGTCAGTTTACACCAGCTGAGGATTCTGCCTCTTAGCTGGGAGCTGAGACTCTCTGTGCAGCTACAGAGCAGGTGTGATCTGGGCAACAGCAGGGTAACCCTCCCTAGCCCGGCTGCACCACCAAAATACTCCTACCCTGTTTGGAGGAACCTCCTTCAGGGGCAAGAGTTTGCGCTCCATGTCCACTGGGGTCTGGGCTTCTTTGCCAGTTGGTCCCAGTTGCGGTGACGGCATTAGTGGGTGTTTGGTTTCCTTAGACAAATGTTGTCACACGCTTTTAGCTCAAGGGGCAGCCTGGGCTGCTACGGAACTGAAAGGAGAGCTTGTTGGAGGGGGGTCTCTATCATCTTTTTGACAGAGTCTCCCAACCTGCTGCAGAGGCAGCTACCATGCTGTGTTTCGTTACCGACGCAGCACGTTAGAGGGGCAAGTCCCTGCGTGCTCTCTCCGCCATTCTCTCACTGTGTCTCGCAGAGACTTTACCATCGCCCGTTCTCTCTTGGCTCATCTCCTTACTCGGGAGTCAAAGTCTTTTAGATAGTAAATACATGTTTTGCACATTTGAACTGTGCAAATGAGCGCCCCTCCAGAAGCAAATCAATTCTCCTGCAGGGGAAAAATCAGCTGGCAAGTAAAGAGGCAATGCAGGTTGGTTCCCTGCTTGTATAGTGAGCTACATGGTTCCATACAGGGAAGAAGACAATATTTCTGCCCCAAAAGCCTTAATCTATGCTTTTTTTTTTTTTTTGCTTTTTTTTTTATAAACAAAGCAGCCTTCTTTTGCACGGCTTCCAGGACTGTCAGAATGGTGCAAGAATGTTGGAAGCTCTAGTGCAGATGTCTCACTGATTTTTTCACTGCTGTGCCATCAAGCCTCAGGGCAGGGGGACATGGGCAGGGTGCTAAAAACATGGTCCCGTCTGCACTCGCATTCCCACTATTGGAGGTATATCAAAGGTGGTGCCACAGCGAGCTATTAAGAGTGCATGGTTTAGTGGAGTGTGCACTGGTTTGGGAGTGTCGTGATGGTTTAATGTTGTAATCCTAGCTCTACCGATGGCCTTGGATGGGTATGTCACAGCTCTGTGCCTCAGTTTACCCATGTACACACACACCTGTTTTGTCTGTCTTTTCATTTAGATCATAAACTCTCTCTGGTTCAATACATTTCTCTTTTAGCACAATGGGCCCCCATCTCAGTTGGGCCCACATAGCTGTATTGTAACATTAATGTTGTTAGCCCGCCCCTAAAAAATCCCTAATGGGCACCAGCGTGGTGGAGTCAGCAGCCTTGTTCAAACAGAATGTGAGTAGAAGGATTAAATGGGATGTCATGGTGCTTTCTCTGTAAAATAACTACGTTATGTAAAAAGACGGAAAACAAAAATCCCACTGTTATGGCAGATGCATTATTTAAATGGGCCAGGTTGTTAACATGAGTTGAGTTCAACCAACAGCACAAGTTGAACTATAATTACAGGAAAACAATCAAATCCCTATCTGAGTTCATAACAAACTGGTCTTACCGCTTTTGTGTATTATAGCAGAACTTGTTTGGCAGCTTGGACGAAGCCGTGCCGCCTTTCTGCTGCTGGGTTAAAGAAACGTGAACCAGTAGAGCAAGTTGGACAGAAAAGAAAAAATTATGGCTTATTGTCTGTGCAAGTTCACCCACACTGCTCCCTTCTATCTCCCCAATGACTGCAGACTGACCACGGCTTAAGGCAAGCGAGTGCCGGCGGAGTCGAGAGAGGCGAGCAGCAACGCAGAGTGAGTAACATTGTGCATGGAGTGACCTTTATCTAGCCCTGGCATCCCAGGCAAAGTCACGGAGCAAGGAGGGGAAGAGCTGATTCATTCTGTGCCCACAATGGAGGAAGAGGTGAGGAGGGAAAGCACATCAGTGCTCAGAGCTGCTGCTGTCACTCATCAGTGCCTTGAATCACGTTCAATTTTTAACCGAATATGTGGAGTTGTTCAGGGATTCAGGGGGAGGGAGGCTCCCCTTCCAGATTTGGTAGGCAATCCAGAGAAAGTTGGAATTCTACTGCATCAGCTGGCTTCATTGCCTGCTGCAAAGTGAGGGGGAAACAGCTTGAAGCAGCATCTGAGCTAGCCAGGCCAGCAGAGACCACGTTGAGTAGTAATTCCATTTCCCTGGTGGGGGTCTTGGTTGTCCATGTTGGTCTTTTTGCTAAATGGAGGTGCAGCCGGTCAAAATGTGGGGGTCCTGAGCAGGAGACTGATCCTGCTTTGGGCAGGGGGTTGGACTCCATCTCCTGAGGTCTCTTCCAACCCTGAGATTCTATGATAACTGTCTTGAAAAATATAAACAGTTGTTACAAGGAGAAGGAAGAAAAATCCTCTCAAGTTGTGAGGATAGGACAAGAAGCTTAAATTGCAGTAAGGGCAGGTTAGGCTGGACATGGAGAAAAAACATCCAAACTGTCAGGGTGGTCAAGCACCGGAATAAATTGCCTAGGACAGTTGTGGAAACTCCATCATTAAAGATTTTAAAGAGCAGGTTAGCCACACCTGCCCCCCCCCCCCCTCACTGCAACTTACAACAGTCCTGCTAATATCATGTCCCTGCTTTAGTTTTCCAAACTAAACAAACACCATTTTTTTTCAGTCTTCCCAGTCAAAGGCCATGTTTTCTAGTCCTTTAATCATTTTTGTAGCTTTTCTCTGGTCTTTCTCCAATTTGTCCATGTCTTCCCTAAAATGTGGCACTCAGAACTGGTTACAATATTCCAGTTAGGCTTAATCAATGCGGAGTAGAGAGGAAGAATGACTTCTCATGTCTGGCTTACAGCTGTCCTGCTAATTCAGCCCAGAGTGATGTTTGCTTTTTTTGCAATAATGTTACACTGTTGACTCATATTTCGGCTTGCGATTCACTGTGACAAAAGCCCTGCACAATTTGTATCCTCATCTGCATCTGTAGCCACAAAAATAAGCCCCAGATATTGGCATCCACATCCGCGGATTCAGATACCCATGGATATAAAGTAGATGTTGGTGGATTTGCAGGGCTCTGTATCTTATTCTTGTATAGCAGCTTGTTTGCTGTCTGCAATATCATTTAGTCATAGGATTCCCTGGCTGTTTTACAACACTGTAAATGAGACAACTAAGACATCTGTTCAGCAAGATATTTAAGCACGTGCTGAACTTTAAGCATGTGAATTATTCCTCTGGCATCAATGGTAGTTTTTGTGGGCTTACAGTTGGGCATATACTAAAGTATCTTTCTGAATAGGAGATTTAATTTGCCTGGCGAACAGAGTCAGAAAAATGGGGGAAAAAAACACTTGGCTTCCTTAGAGCCTTATTCAAACATGGCAGGATACAAATGTCTTTGCCTCCTTGAATTGCGTGAGGACAGGGAAAGGGGTGAACATGTTCTAACCAGTCAGCAAATATGCAGTGCAGTAGGGCAGCTTGAATGTAACAGCTGCCTAGATGCGCTTTGTGGCAGTAGCTTTGGTTTGGAGGCTGGCTTACGGCTTCAAGAAATGCACATTTCAGCTAGTTGCACACCAGAGAAGGGAGCTGTCTAACCCACAAAAAGTAGAATCTTCAAGTTGTTTCAACGGCAGCTGTACATGCCCCCACTGTGGCCAGACAATTAAGGATACTGAGTGTCTACATCAAAGGCTCTCAGTCAAGCACATTCAGAAACAGTCACTCATTCTCACTACCCCCTGCCACAAGGGCATTCTCTTCCCCAGGCAATCAGGAGGCCAACTGAGGCACAGAGTAGGCCAGTGGCTTGCCTGGGACCGCACAACTGAGGAAAATGGCAGAGGTGGAAATAGAATTCAGACCACCTGACTCCCAGCCCTGTTTGGCTCACTGGATGGCAGTCCCATTACCATCCTTAACACCTTCCAGGCTCACACTCTAACTGCTGTCATTGTGCTGCTCAAATTACCCAAAAGGTGCATTTAGAACAAAGTGCATTAATCGGAACATTGACTCTATTATTTGTGTAACGCTGACAGGCAGAATTGAACCTGGAACCTCTGGAACTTAGAGCATGAGCCCCTCCTGCATGAGCCAAAAGCCAGGTGCCTCTCAGCTAAGGCTGTAGAACAGACTCATAATTCTCTCTGGAAGTGCCACCAGTTGGGACAATACACCACACCCAGCAAACACTGGAGGCTCTAGCATATCTTACTGTAACTGCCTGGGTGCCCTGGTATGTGTATTGTGTATGCACAACAAGGCATCTTTATTGCCCCGTGGACCTGTTTTGCGCTCCGTGCCCTCACATTCCATTAACCTGAAGGAACATGCACCTAATAACAGTCCAAAGAGATATGAGAGAGAGAAGATTTTTTGATGCATAGCATCTCTGACAGATCACAGCCCTGTATTATACAACCACTTGAGTGAGCAGCCCTGAGAAGCGGTGAGGCAGCTAGAGCAGGGATAAGATGGGGATGAAATTGAAGGAAAGTGCATGCTTTACCCAGGAGAGCATCCACCTAGCCCAGTCTGACCACAAGGTACTATGCTAGGGTATGTCTACACTACCCCGCTAGTTCGAACTAGCAGGGTAATGTATGCATACCGCACTTGCTAATGAAGCCCGGGAAATTCAAATCCCGGGCTTCATTAGCATAAGCGGGGAGCCGCCATTTTTAAATCCCCGCTGCTTCGAACCCCGTGTAGCGCGGCTACACGGGGCTCGAACTAGGTAGTTCGGACTAGGGTGCCTATTCCGAACTACCGGTACACCTCGTTTCACGAGGAGTACCGGTAGTTCGGAATAGGACCCTAGTCCGAACTACCTAGTTCGAGCCCCGTGTAGCCGCGCTACACGGGGTTCGAAGCAGCGGGGATTTAAAAATGGCGGCTCCCCGCTTATGCTAATGAAGCCCGGGAAATTCAAATCCCGGGCTTCATTAGCAAGTGCGGTATGCATACATTACCCCGCTAGTTCGAACTAGCGGGGTAGTGTAGACATACCCCTAGGCAGCAATGGTGTGCTCATAAAGAGAGAATGGTTTCCTACCTAGTTATTCTATTGATTTTGCTGACCAGTATCAATGCCTTGCTAAAAGGATTGCAGAGGTTTTGTGTTGAATTTATTTCAATACAGGTTGAACCTCTCTATTCTGGCACGTTTTGGTCTGGCAACATCTGTGGTCCAGCTTGATTTTAGTTAGCCAGATTCCACTTATCATGGGTATGGTCAAGTTTCCCTTGATCCCATAAAGTTTGTTTCCAACTGCCAGTCCTGGCTCTCAGTGTTCTGTGCTGTTATTTAGCTTGAATGTACCTTTAAATGTTCTCTAAAAGCCCAGTAAGCAGCGGAAGTGTTGGTAATGCTGCTAGATAGATAGATGCTGGTAGACAGGATACTGGGCTAGAAGGACCTTTGGTCTGACCCAGTACGGCCGTTCTTATGTTCTTATGTAGATACTGTTGACTTTCTGGTTCGGCACTGATCAGGTCCCAAGAGTGCTGGACTAGAGAGGTTCAACCTGTAATAACAATAAGCCAATAGGGTGATTTATGTCTCCAGAGAGCTTTCCAAATGCTGACTAACCATTTGCACTGCAACATGTAGACTATGTTTCTGATTTGCAGCTCTCTCGTTGCTTTGGGAATGCTAACCTAGATGCCATGGGGATTGGCAGCAGGTAAGGCAGCTGTACTGATAAGAAGAAATGTATTGATCCACACTGGGTGCAGATGGGGGTGGTAACATGCATTGGGCTGTTTTGTGAGCAAGAAGGATGGGGCATGTTGCCAGATTTTGACTTCTATCTCCCTAATGGGGCAGGAATATTACTTACCAAAATAGCTAGATTTGGGGTGGTTGAGTGAATAGGAAACTGGTTTGCAGTGCAGAGGACTAGCTAGTGGAAATGACTAGCCAGATTTTATGGAAGCAGAATATAATGGCCCAAGATGGAACTGGGCTTTATTGCCCCTGCTGTTGTGAAAAGGGAAATATTTCCTGACTGTAAAGACTTCAGCTCTAGCCAGTGCACGGCCTTTCGGGGAGTCGTACCAAGCGGTTATAATCCTTCTGCAAATGCCCTACCGAGATTTCCCCACTCAGAGGGGAGCTCCTCCACTGGTGCATCTCTACTGCAGTCACATCTTCCCTCCTGCTCCTGGTGCAGAGGGGGAGGCATGGACAGGAGGAGGTTTGTGTAGCTCTTTAGAGAGGGCTGGTCGGGATTTACTGCCGAGGTGTCCTCACAAGTCTCTGGCTCCGTTGATGATGGTAACCAGAAGGCTGCTTGCGTGTGTGCTCAGTGAAGTGGGCCGTGTCGACTTGTGCATTTAGTCTCCACAGCAGACCCCCAGAAAGCCCCCAAAGACCACAAACCAGATAAGGATCGAAGGTGCCAGGCCAGGTTTATTGTAAAGTGAAGTACAGTAATAGTTGTCAGTAGACTACTGAACCACTACACATTTGTACTTGCCACAATGGAATGACTCAGTAAGTGAGAAATTTCCACTGCCCCCTAGGTCATTCAAAGGCTGTCTCCCCCAAAACACCACATTATATACAGGTGCAAACAAATCACACCTCACTGCTGACGTTGTCAGGTTATCACCCTCTGACGCTACTTAGCTACCACCCATCAACCTGTACCTCGTGGCTTGATTATATCATCATGCTGTCATTTTAGTCCTTTTCCTGAACCTGAGGCTGTATCTGTGGGGAGTGAGTACCAAGATTGTTTTGAATGAGCTAGTGGTACCACCTGATTTCAACTTATGACCAGTACCAATTATTGTTCCGCAGTCAGTACCTAGCACCAATGAGTGTTTTACACTCTCCGCCCTGTTCGTGCCAAGTTCTGTGGGCTGGGGCCTGCCTCTTGCTCACGGCTTAGCTTTGCTTCATGTTAGCCATGTTTTGTCCATTGGAGTAGGCCTCAGGCCTCAGATCAGGCCTGTGCTGCATGGGCTTCTGTTTTAGGCCTTCATCTGACTACAGTTTGCACCAGTTAAGCTTCATTCCAGTGGCACCCTATAAAGCTGCCTGGCAGCAGCTTTAAAATTCATCGCAGCCACGACTGGTCCAAGAATGAGGAAGCAGAAGCTGACTCCCTCACAGCCCACATGGCCACTTATCTAAAGGGTTACCCCTCTGGCAGCACAGCGCCATGCTGGGGCACTGGCTGGGTACTGAGTCAAAGGAAAGAATGCCACATGCCCGATGACCAACAGCACCTGCGTGTTCGTGATGAAAGATTTCCCAACCCCCTGGCTTGACCCTGCTTAGCTCAAGAGCCAGCATGATCACAGAAATGTTGTAGTGTGGGTGCAAGGCTGATGGGAGTGTCCTTTGAGTGATCAAACAGAGACAACACGCAGATCATCTGTTCCAGGTTTAAGATCTGCTCCAGCCTCCTCTGCCCGCAGGGCTTGGGAAGCTTCAGATCTTTGGGGGCAGGTAGAATGAATGAGGCTCTTTTTGCCTTTTTGCCTTTCATCTTAATTATTGGCCTGATGAAATCTCAGGCCCAGCCTGAAGGTAGTGAAAGAGTTAAGAAGAAGGTGACAGGTAAGCTGCAGAGAGGAGCAAAGTCGGATGAGCATTAAACTGTGAGAACAGTGGTTCTCAAACTTTTTGACCTGCGACCTACCCCGCTCACTGCAAACCTTTCCAAGGACCACCAGCCAACCACCCATGATGACAAAATGGGTGTTGGGGAGGTGGGTCTGGTCAGGAGGTAGGGTGCAGGAGCAGGCTGAGAATGGGAAGTCTGGGAGGGGGGAAGGGCGCAGGAGCATAGTGAGGGGTGTCAGCTGGAAGGGGGTGCAGGAGGATGATGGGGGTGTGAGATCTTGGCAGAAGGGGGGCGCGTGGGGATGATGACTGTGTACGGTGCTTACCTGGCACCGTACTGCTCTCCGGACACCACTCTCCGCTGCCCCCATGGGCTGTGATCCCAGCCAATGGGAGCAGCAGGGAAACCCTCCAGACGAGCAGTTTCCTGTGAGGCCATCTCCCCCCCTGGGGGGAGTGGCAGCATGTGGAGCCGCTTCCTTCCCCCACAAGCCTGAGAATCTCCCCTCACCCCAGCAGCGAGAAGCCAGCGCTGGTGTGCCTTCCTCACGGGTCAGGGGAGGGGTTGGGACTGGAGAGCTGAGGCGGGGCTGGAGCACCCACACAGGCCCCACACGGCTAGGGGAAGCCGACGACCCATTTGCAAGATGGTCATGGACCACTAGTGCTCTGCAGACCACGCTTTGAAAATCACGGTGTCAGTGGATGCTTTTGATCAATCCAAGAAAAAAGTGGTTTGGTTGAAAGCCAAGGAGACCCTTCCTTTCATCTCCATCTGCCTGATAGTAACAATGCCAACAGCTGACCTTCTTTAATGTGAAACTCCCTGGTTTTAAAAGATGCCTCAGATTGGATCTTCTTACTGGGCAAAGCCAATCAGAGCACAACATTGGGTTCTGCTTTGTAAGTCTGACCCACAGCAGCACACCCCATTCTTATAAATAACACTGACGACAACAGCCAACTCGTTAAGGATTTGATTATCCGCATTGTTTCCAATGCATGAAAGTTTTTTCTGTTTATTTGCATGCTCACCACCCAGACTCAAGATGCACTAGCACCTCATTATTCTGCAGCAGCAGAGGTTTGTGGCTTATAGCAACACAGATACAATGAATTGCTCGGACAAAAATCTTTTTTCTTTCTTAATTATACAATCCCAGACATCATTTGTGGAACAGGACACATGGAGAGCACAATATGAGCTGCAATGAGGTAGGAATCTGCATTTATGAGCCCTATGGAGGCCATTTTTCTAAGCGCTGCTTGTCAAATTTGCAAGACACATTTTGAATGCCTGCAATTCAACTGTGGGTGCCTATCAAAAACTAAAAGTGTAAGAAGCTTGACTACCCATAATTTAATTAGCCACAGTCGGGCATACATTTTGGGTACTCAAAAGCAGGAGGGTAGCAGGCAGTTGTTTCCCCTCCAGAATGTTCATGCACCTTTCTCCCCTCCCCATAAGCCCCATTTGCATACAAAACCTGGCGTGCATATGTGGGATGCAGAATGCAAGAGGATTCTTGGTCTTCCGATAGCCTGGTATGGAAATATAGTGTTTAACTGGTGCACAAGCACTTTTGCAGGTATCTGGTTTCAAACATGTGGCCCTTGGAGGCTGAAATAATCTTGGAACAGGCAAACCCTTCAGGAAGCATCAAACTCTTCCCTAGACCATACCAGCATCTTGTCCAAAAACAGGCCTCTACCACTTGAGTTGAAGGAGAATCTCCATTAGTTGTTAGCAGTGCGGGATCTATAGCACCAAGTGGAGAGATGCTGATTCCATTCACAAGAGAGGAGTGGAATATTCTTCTGCACCAAAAAATTAACACTTCTCACTTAAGATTGAATAGGGTTAGCTTGATAACAGAATATGGTGTATATTGACTGATATCATGGTGTGCATTGTTATCGAAAGTCTTTCTAGATTATTTTCAACCTGAATTCCAGAACATAAAGCTTTCATTAAGGAGAGGGACTGTGGCTCAGGGTTGGAATATAGGTGTGTGAGTCAGGTGTTCTGAAGTCTGTTCCTGGCTCTGCCCTTGCCTCTCTCCTTGTCCTTGTCCCTGACCCTTAATCTCTGTGCTCCTCAGTTTAACCACCAATAAAATGTGGATAATAATAGTTCCTTGCCCACTTCACAAAGGATTGAGAGACCAAATTAATTTAAGGTCTCTCACATATGGGATTGCCAGATTCCGCTGGTTTCTGTCTGCATAGGTTTTTTTTTTCCTACTAGTATTGCGAAAGTGACACCCACATAAAGCCAGGGCACGTGAAGTGAGGTGTATGTTGACTGCACACAATATTGACTGTGCTCCTCCTCTGTCCAATCAAAGCACAGCAATAGTTCAATCAGCACACCCCGCACATTCTAGATAGGCAAGTGCAGTGAGCAAAACTATGCTGTCCTGGGAGACTATCTTTGTAAGGACAGTCTTGTGGTCCACTGAGCTGACGGAGGCCACTCGTGCGGCCCAAACTGGCTTAGGTTGCCCCTCGCTGATCTGTGGGACTGCTCCAGTGAGTCAGGCTCTTTCCATGTGTAAAGCTGCAGCATTGGCCCCAAATGGAGACTGGCCTTTGTGACAAGGAGACATGAGAATCTGTCCTGACCTGCCATATTTCAGCAGGGATTTGGTGAATCTAGTGATCGATAAGGGGTCTTACCCCCCTCAGTTGGCTGCATGCCCAGGACGGGAGGTAGAGTTAACATAGCAAGGGGAAAATACAAAGCCAGCTTTGACTTTTTCCAAAGTAGTCAAAGCTGCCTCTAAGCAATGGGGGCTTGACAACCAGTGTGCTTTTTTTGGTAATTGTTTCCATTGGTGTACAATGGCAAAACAGATGACACTTGACTGAAGTGAATTCATAACTGCGCAGGCTGGGACTTGAAAACGCTGCTTTCTCTGGCTGGATTTGCTCTTGAGTTTTCTCTAG